AAAAAAAAAAAAAAAAAAAAAAAAAAAGCACAGCCTTTGTGTAGTTCAGCAGGGCGGTGCCCCAGAACAACTAAGAGTAGGGTCACTGTGCCAGATATGCCAGCAGTGCCACTTAGGGATAAGAAATGAAAGCAGGGTCCCAAGAGGGCCCTGCACCCCATGAGTGCAGCAGCACTGCTCACAAAAACATCCAGGTGCCCATCCAGGGTGCATGGGAAACAGGGACGAAGTCTACACAGCAGAACAAGCAGGGTGAAGAATCAAATGGTTCTGACAGAGGCCACGACGCTGGTGAAACCTGAGGACGTTATGCAAAGACAGCCACGAACATTCACAAAAGGGCAAGTACATCTGGCAAGTTTCCACCAGACTGGTGGAAATCAGAGCCACTGAGGATGAGGGATAGGGAGTTAGAGATTAATGGGGACTGACTTTCAGTTGTGTAAAATAAAAGAGCTCTGGGTAGCCAGGCACAGTGGTGCACGCCTGTAATACCAGCATTTGTGGAGGCTTAGGTGGGACATGGCAGCAAAGAAGAAAACAGCGAGAGGAAGAGGCCTGATGAAAGAAAACACACTAAGTGAATGACTGGCTCCACAGGTTCCTCAAAGCCTGGGCAGAGAAGAAAGAACTGAGACTGGCACAGCTTTGTACCCCCTAACTATGCAGCAGGAGGAAGGGAACCCTAGTCCTGAGCTCTGTGAGGCCTCTGGGATGCCAGACATGGTTCCGATTCACAATGCAGAGACCTGGAGGGTAGCTTCCTGCTAAGTGGCTTTGAGATGTGCCAAGGGCACAATGCCCAAACTTGACACTGTCCATGTGGCCTCTGAGGATGTTGTTGGTGTCATTCTGTCCTCTACAGCTATGTCAATTCTCTGGATACAACAGTCTAGCTCCTGCAGTGTAGCTCAGTGGTACACACGTGCCGAGCACACACAAGGCCCTGGGTTCCATCCCCAGCACTGCCCAAAAGCGATCAACCCCTAATACAATGCCCAGCATATAGTGGGATTCATCAGGCTCCTCCCACTGCTAGGCCCAAAGACAAAGCCCACAGAATTGTGGGAGGGAAACTCCCCTTCTGGAAGAACATCCATGTGCCATCAGGACTAGCAGATGCCATCAGGGCTTATGTGTGCACTGTGCACACTATTGGGCCTGCACACTGCTCTCGGGCCGTGTTCACATATATGCCCTTGTATGTCCAGTGTGCATGTGGATTGTGTGTGCATGTGCACATATGTGTAAGGAGGTATGCTGAGGTTGCTGGCACACCGTGCTATCCACTTTGAGTCCCATGTGGTGTGGTAACTCTGGGACTATAACCACCACCAACACTATCCTAGCTATTCAGGGGAGCAAACCAAAGCAGCAGGGTAGATGATGCCCATGTCCTCCTCTCCTGTGGCAGGGTCAAGGTTCAGACCAGGTGCTCTGGCTACAAGTGCAGAGAATGTCCCAGGCCACCCATGCTGTCCCCACTGGTACATAGAAATCTAGGTGAGCCTCTGTCCCCGTCCTTTCTCAGAGCCAGTCCCTAGGAACAGGCTTGGCTGGACCACCTGCACAGGTAGTGAAGTGGCGGTGCTGGCCAGGAGGGGAAGCTGCTGCCCTCTAAGATTTGGTGGATGAGTTCAACGACCTTGCCCCAGAGCCTTTGGCACAGGGTTGGCACTGCCACGAATCTGGCACTCTAGCTGCCCCGGCTGTAGGGAGAACCCCTGGCAATGGAGCTCCCCTAGTCCTCCTGCCAACACCTGGCCCAGCAGGTCTGCTGGATCAGGTTGCTGGCAACACCAGCAGGCTGCGGTTCCGCCAGGACCCAGCCCACACTGCACAAAGTGCCTGAAGGAAACTGGCAGGGATGCCCCTCTGGGGCTGAACCTACACTTGGGCTCGCAGCCTCTGCCTGACAGCCATGCCCTGCTGGCTCCCCTCTCCAGGACGGTGGAGCAGACTCAGGTAGCCACAGGCCTGGCTGTCACCTGCATCCCGGTTGACCTCAGCCTCAGGCTCTGCCACTGCACAGGGCTGCATACCAGCTCCACACAGGGCCCTTCCAAGGCTGCCTGAGGAAGCCACCCACGTCCAGCAGAAAAAGGAGGTACTGGAAATCTCTTTGGAGTCAGTCTGGGACAGAGTAGGCAGCTGGGCTGGGCCTGCCTGGTATCTCTGTGGTGGTGGTGGCTGGGAGGCTACAGAGCCCACACTCTCCAGGGAGCCACAAAGCTGGCTAATTCCAATTTCCCTCCTGGCCCCAGTCCTCCCTGCCCTGAGTCAGGACACCCACCAGTCTCCAGCCATCCACCCCACCTTTCAGCACTCATGTGTGGAGGGATTGTCACACAGCTGTCTCTGTCACTCCAAGGCTCTGCCCTGGATGCCTCACAGCCTGGCCACTGCCTGCTGAGAACATAAATTCCACCTGGATCCCTCCCTGCTTCCTCACCCTCCCCTCTGAAACAGAGGGCGTGGGGGTGGGGAATATGGACAGCCAGGCCCCAGGTACAAGGGAGTGGTGGCTTTCTGAGGCCCCAGGGGTGGTATTAGGCTCTGGGTCACAGTTTGGGCTCCCCGGGGACGGACCCCTCGCG